CCACATTAATCTTTTTCATGGCTCATTTTGTGCTTGATTCAAGTCATCCTTAACCTCTTTGACTTTCTCTTCTCTACAGTGTCGTAACATCTAAGCATTCTCTTCCTAAATCCAAACCTTCTTCGCATATTTTTATTTTCTTGCGAATTCTTGTTACAAACTCAATATTTTGAATGTTTCTTCTACTTGCGATGACACCATCAAATTCTTTAATTGACAAGTCTTTAATTATTGTTCCCGACCAGTCTCTTTAATAATCTCAAATCTTCAATTGCCACTATTATAATGTTTCAAGAAGCATATAAGGAAATATGACTCCTGTCCCAGTTACTTTTAGGAAAGCAATATATGTAGGGTTTATAATCTTAACTCTGATATATTATCTGTACAACAAAAGGATTTTTCAATATACGAATATTATAGTGCCTTGAGGGGTAAATGTGATGATGAGCTTCTTCAATATTAGCCTTCCACAACAAACTAATCCAATCTTTTGATAAAATTAGAATGAGGATTTTCTCATTGTCACAATTCTCTCTTCACTTCAGTCTCATGTGCAATTACAGTTGATGAAAGATTCCATCATTGTCTCTATTCTCTCATATTTTCTATGGTCACTGAGTGTTCAACTCCCTAGTAGCCTTTGTATATTCTGTTCTAGCTACATTACATTATGGTGGTCGTGATTATCAACAAGGATGTGGAGGAAAATCTTTTCATTATGATCAGGCTAATCATTTGTCAGATAGTTGTTGGGCTAAATTTGGTTATCCCTCTATTGACTTAACATGCCTCTGGATCATCTTTCACCACTATTGGCTCTCTTACTCCCACCACCTCTTCTAGGTCTATTTCTTAGGAGGATTATAATCATCTTGTTTGGCATTCACAGACAGTATTGTCTGTGTCTCATGATACTACTTCTGGCTCTTTTGTTGTTGCTTTCTCGGACATGTCTTACATATCATATTGTGGTGTTTCCTCACATATGACAATTAATTGCCATCTATTTTCTTTTATTAACCCACCCTCTTTAGCAAAAACTGTTTTTCTACAAATCTTTCTTCTAGATGTCATATATTTTTTTCAATTTCCTATCAATTTACTTGTCCATAAACCTCTCTTCTAGATGTCTTATATATTCTTAAATTTCCTATCAATTTGCTCTCCATTCATTGTCTTACCAAACATAACAATTGTTCTAAAATGTTTTAGCCCCCAAATTGTAGTTCACAGGATCTTGATATGGGAAAGATGGTGGAGATGTTTAAGCTAATGGAGTTTACTGCTTGATACTCTAGTCTTCTTTATTTTCTCTTCCACCATCACTTAACGCAATACATTTTATTCGCTCTTCAAAAATTTAACGTAATACTTGTGAAGTTGCTAAAAATTATTTGGCATCTTTTTCATTTCAACGATATCTCTTAGTACCATCTTGTCTATACTTGTTATTCTAAGGTATGGGGTTTGAGTTTTGTTTTGACCAATCTCGAGTTTAAGTATTTTATTACCTTTGTTAATGATCATTCAACTATCACATGAGTTTATCTGTTCAAATGTAGATCATAAGTTCTACATTTATTCAAAAACTTCTATCTAAAAATAAAAGTTCACTAATCTACATTGATCAAAACTCCTCATATTGATGATATTTTTTGAATTCATACGTAATCAATTTCACTCTTTATACTGAATATAAAATTCTTCATCAAATATCTTGTCGATATACATCTCAACAAAATGATTTGTCTAATGCAAGCATTGTCTTGTCATTTGCTTAATGTTTCCAGAACCTTACCTTAATATTCCATATGAATACCCTCGATGTTCTTGGGGAATGAGATTTTAATTGCTTGTTATTTTATTTATCATCTCTTCTCTATGGTCATTATTGATGCTGCTTCATTATTTATTTCGACAAAACATCCTTCTTTATTACTTCCAAGATTTTGTTGCCTTGTTTATTCGTTTCTTTGAACCTGGTTGCAAACTCTTGTACTAAATAAGGCTACCAATTGTCTTATTAGCCGACAAAACATCTTGTTATTTTATTTATCATCACTAGATGTTACATTCCATGAAACGTCTTCTTATTTTTCTCTCAATTCTCTGCCAGATCATCATCTTCCCTTGTTCTTATTCTTCCTCGGTCACTTCCATCTTCTCTATCCCTACAGGCGTATACCAGACAACCTCATCCTCCTGCTACAACACCACCTCCCCCAATTTTGTTCGAACCGATTGATGACCCACCTATTAATAAATTCTTTGATCCTTATATATATACATTGCTTAACAAAGAGACAAAAGGTCAATTATTTACAACATTATTATATCTTATGTGATCTTCGGTTGACTTTCTACTAGTTTTTCTGCTTTTTTCTTATCCTTTGATTAAACCCATTACATATTAGGAAGCCCTACATGACCAATGCATAACTAGACTAAGCTTTGACATACTTTGAAGTTGTATTTGTAGATCTCCAACTTTCTTAGACATATTTTATTTGGTTTTGTTATCTTAGTTAACAAGCTCAATGACATTTCACTCACAATAAGTTCCCACAAAGGAGTTACTCAAATAAAACACCACCCACGAAAATGTTTTATGATAAAAGATTTGGTTGACGAAAATGTTTTCTAGGGATTGAATTCGATGACAATAAATAAGAAATTTTCTTTTCTCGAAGGAAATATGAAACTAATATTCTAGAAAAAAAATGTTCTTTTAGATTGCAAAAAACAAAAATGTTAATACTTTCATAGGCCCTCAAAAGGCTTGAAATGACAGAAATTTAATGACCACCTCTTGTTAGTTAAGGTTAGTTTGAAAATTAATCTTACCATAAGTTGACTAGATATCTCATTTGTCATTAGTTTTAAATTAATACATGCAAAATCCAAAAAAAGAAGCATTCGGATCAGGAAATATCTTGGAAAGGATTTGTCATACAATAAAATGGGGCACCTGTAAGTTGAAGCCTCTTCTTCGATGCTAATTATGTTGGCTAAGTAGAAGACAATAAATCAATCTCAGTATATTGTATCGTTTTTTGGAGCAATTTGGTCTCATGGAAAAACAAGAAGCAGATAGTTGTGGCCATAAGGGCTATACTCATTCAGTCTGTGGAATGATGTATGTAAAATCTTTGTAATCCATGTAGTTTTTCATTCGAACGAGAGATTAGAGGACTTTGTAAAAGAAGAGGGCTCGTGGGATATGGGATGGTGAGGGAACAAATAAATTATGCACGATGTTATAATCAGAACTTGTAAATATACCATCTTGTCTATACTTATTAGCACTGGTAATGACTAGTTCCTCCAGTTGAGCTCTTGTTTCTTCAGCCCCAAGGACAAGAATTGATGATAGTTAATGCTTTAAAGAGATAATTAACGTGACATTTACATTCTAGTTTATTGATCGATTGAAAGAGGGATAATCAGAACTTGAGATGTTGGGAGAATAACTAGACTGAGCTACAGGAGTTATTGCAATTTGGTTAGGGGTCAAAATATTGGTTGGATCTGTTGGATGAGCATGCCAGTTTACTATTTCAACAGTCTGATATTAGTTTTAAGCAGTCAAAACTATAATGTAATTCAAATTTATCATGTTTCAAGTTGCTGAACTGGTTGAATTGTCCGATCCAATTTTCTCAGTAATGTTTAAAACAGTTAGTGCATCACTAAGGTTTCGTTTGGGACGGCTTTCTTACTGCTTCTTAAAGTAACTTTTTAGTATAAAAATTTTTTCTTTGTACCAGGAAGCTGCTATAAGTAAGACTTCACTTAGGACGGTTTATTTACTGTTTCATGAAGCAGCTTTTTAGTAAAAAAATTTATTTTTTATATTAAAAAGCTGCTTTAAGAAGCAGTAAAAAAGCCGTCCCAAACGAAGGCTAAGTATTGTGTAGCTTGCTTTAGCTTTTCCCTCGTTTTGACTTCTGATACTAATTCATTGCCATCCCATATTTCCTGTAGCTCATGGAAAGGTTTTGGACGAATTCTTTATCTCCACAGCAGGTGGGTCTGTAAGTCGGAAAATATATATTTCTAGGTGGCAAAATATCCCGGCTGGGTTTGGGGAATGGTATCTGTACAATTCTAGACTAAGGCTCGTTTGGGACGACTTTCTTCCTGCTTCATAAAGCTGCTTTCTAGTACAAAAATTAAAATTTTCATACTAGAAAACCGCTTCAAGCAGCAATAAAAAAGCCGTCCCAAACAAAGCCTAAATTTTTATGACCAGCTTTGAAAGACTACTAAAATTTGAACAAGATATATTTCTCCTACTCTACTATATTTCAGGCAAATTCCAAACAGACGTTGGGAGAAGTTGGGCCTCTGAGGTGACTTCAAGAAGGAATAAGAGACTAAGAGAACTTGATTCATAGAAGTATCAGAAGAACTAAGGTAATTTTGTCATATCAATTCAGAACTCAGGTCAAAGTTTCTTCCACTGAAATTCTAAGTATACGAATAAATGGTGTCTTCATTGAGTACCGAGCTATAAGCTATTTAGCCATCAGAACTGTGGCAACCCTTGCTTGGAGGTCAGAAATCTTCAAAATAACTTCAATGGTGCAGCCCTTTTAACGTTAAACCTACAATTTTATCAGTTTGATCATCACTATATTTATTATTTCAATGAGATAGTAGTTTGCTAAAGCCGTAGAAGCATGGAAGTTAGGAAGGCAAGTCTTATTAGCTCAATGAAAGTTATAAGTTTTTTTCTCATTGATGTTCATGTTGTCATTATTGCTAACTGACTTATCCAGGGAGAGTGATTTAGGAATTTTCTTTGATGAATAAATTCATTTTTATAGTCCCTTTTTGAATAAAATGTTTGTCTTTTCTTCTTATGTGTCGCATTTTATATGGCTCCCATAGATTTGATATAGGAAGGGATTGTGTTTATCTTCAGAGAAATGGAGGTGATTTAATCATTCTTCAGTTCTTTTTTAAGATCACGATTAAGGTTTCGTTTAGGACGGTTTTTTTATTGCTTCTGAAAATAATTTTTTTGTTTAAAAATGAAAATTTTTATACTAGAAAACTGCTTTAAAAAGTAATAAGAAAGTCGTCCCAAATGAAGTCTAAGACTTCGTTTGGGATAGCTTTAGAGCACTTTTTTTTCTTGTTTTAAAGATATTTTTATGCTAAAAAATAGTTTTGCAAAACTGCAAAAAGTCATTTCAAATGAATTCTAAGGTGACGTTTGGAATAGTTTTTTATTATTTTTTAAAACAGTTTTTTAATTTAAATATTTTTTAAATTAAAAATTTTAATATTAAAAAAATACTTTAAAAATAATAAGAAATGTGTACCAAATGAAGCCTAAATTATTTTTACCTCTTTCACTTAATTTTTTTTTGTTTAAGCAGAAGTATTTTCTACTTGTTTGAGTAGATTGGACTGTACCTCTGCCTCCAGCAATCCTTGTGGGGCTTTTTTCATATTTATTAGTTGAGCCTTTTCTTTTATTTAAAGTGGGTGATTTACATAAATGTCACAGATTTTTTATCTATTTACATATCTGATATTAAAAATTCTATATTTATTTATCATTTAACCATCTAAATTATATCAAAATATGCGTACTTTAAATAAGTTAGTGTAAGTAATAACGTTTATGTAAAAGTGTTGAAATGTTAGATATATAAATGTATAAAAAGTTTATTATTGGAAAGTACTGCACTAAAATATTTTGTGATGCTGAATATGAAAATAAATCGTTGATATTTGTACAAAGATAGATGATTTTTTCTAAAATGCAAATTATGTAATTTAATTAGGGGTGTCAATTCGGGTCAGCGGGTTGGGTTCGGGTCGAACCCGGAATTGACCCGGCATTGTTCGAGTCAACCTGAACCCGACCTTTTTTAAAAACGGGTCAGGTTTCTGGACCCGAACCCGGCCCGACATGAATGACCCGAAGTTGACCTAAAATTGTTAAGTTTCGGGTAAAAAATCGGGTCAATATTCGATTTTCGGGTTAAAATCGGGTCAAAATCGAGTCAAAACGGGTCAATCTCGGGTTTTCTGGTCAAATATGATTTTTCGTGTTACTTTCGGGTCAATTTCAAGTCAATTTCGAGTTGCTGGGTCAACCCGAACCTGACCCGATTTTGACAACTGGTTGATTTGTTGAACCCGAACCCGACCCGTTTCGGGTTCGGGTTGACCCGAAACAGAATTTTTCGGATTGGGAAAGGGTCGTGTTTCGAGTCGTGTAAAAAATTGACACCCCTAAATTTAATATATTATTTATTTTATAAAACATCAAACTGATAATAAATCCCAATTATTTAAAAGTAAAATAGCAAAAGCTTTGTGAAATGCAGTTTGAGGCATGCGCTTGATTTCGAATAACTTTTGGTCATTAACTTTTCTCTATGATTTTAAGAAATTTGTGTAATAATTTTTTGTAAAAAACAGTAAAAATAATATTCCAAATGAAAATTTAGTAAATGTTATTGAAACATGGAATTATAGTCGTTAAGGTTTGCTCTCAATCGTTTTAGATTTATGATGATCTCTCTTGTTATTATGAAAGCTTAGCAATAAATCTTCCTTCTCATGTGCAATAAGAAAGTTTCTAGTCAAGGGTTGCACTCAATCTTATCAGATGTATTAGGGGTGGTAAAATGAGTCAATAGATAATGTTGGCTTTGACCCGAAATTAATCCGACCTGAATCCGATGAACCCAAATTCGACCCATTTAATAAATGTGTTAAAAATGTGAATCTGGTGAATTTGAACTCGTTCTGCTAACAACCTAAATGACCTGAACTTGATCGGATAACTAATTTTAATTTTTTTTAATAATAGATTTTAGATTAATTAATAAAAAAGACAATAATACTAACAAATAATTTAAAAAAAAATAAAAATGATCATTTCAGGTTAAAATTGGGTTGGCGGGTCAACTTGAATTTGACCTGTTTAATAAATGGGTCAGAATTTTTGACTCAAATCTGACATATTTATTCAACGGGTCAGCTTGAGTTCGGATTTTTCAAGTCGGGTTGATGGGCCGAATTATTTTTTGACACTCCTAAAATTTATGATAAACTCTCTTGTATTATGTAAGCAGATCTAAGTTATGTTTGATAAGTTGGCCTGTTAAACTTTTCAGCTAAGTCAAACTTGATTGGTTAGTTTGCTAGTTGATTTTGACCCAAATCAGTTCAAACCAAACTTTGGCTCAATTTGAGATCAGCTTGATCAATTGCAACATATTATGCATATTTCTACTTAATTTTTTCAGCTAAGTCAAACTTGATTGGTTAGTTCGCTCGTTGATTTTGACCCAAATCAATTGCAACATATTATGCATATTTCTACTTCTTCAACATATATAGCCAACCTAATTACATGGTAACAAATGGTTTCAAAGGAACATTCAAGACATAGATAGAGGAATTACTTTATAATTCTAATTGTTAGAAGTATCTTCGTGTGCTTGTAATTCATTTGAGATTGCTTTCTTACTGCTTTTTAAAGCAGAATTTTAGTACAAATATTTTTTGAACTTAAAAATTATTTTAGAAAGTAGTAAGAAGCCGTCCCAAATAAAACCTATGTCAATTTTTTGACCCTGCTCGTACTTAATTTAATTTTTGTTAACCTTAGTTGAGTTAGCATAAACAAAAACATATAAATGCACTGAATGCACTCAATTACCAATTACTTGTCCATCAAGCTTTTTCCCTTCATGAATGAAGTTTCCATAATCCTCAAAAAACTCTAGCAACTGATATGGTATGTGCTGAAGGTGAGAGGTCACCAACTGTTTGTCGAATTGCATGAAAGCATAAGTTGAGAGGGTATGCCATATAAGTTTATTAAAGCATGTCTTGAAAAACATTTGAAAAGATACATCTTTATATAGTTAATGGCCTCCTCTACATGCAATTAGAGGAGAAAAAAAGGGCACATGGATTGATGTGGTAGCAATGAACTCGGATCTTTTTTTGGGACAAATTTCTTATTATCTTCTTAAAGTAGATCTAGAAATTTTCGTACTAAAAAATTGTTTTAGATGGCAATAAGAAAGCTGCCTCAAACGGAACCTCAAGCTGCTGATTTAGGTGTCGTTTGGGACAACTTTTTCATTGCTTTCTAAATTATTTTTTTAGTATAAAAATTTTTATTTCAAAAAATTTTATGTATTAAAAAATTGCTTTAAAAATAATAATAATAAAAATTGTCCCAAATAAAACCTTAATTTAAACATATAAAAAAAGATTTTGGAAATTTTCAAACAATTTGAGTTATATTTTACAAATTGGGTCTCCCTTATAAGCCCTCTCTAGATTAAGCATTATAAGCTCTTAAGACATGAAAGGCTTAATATTAGACAATCTTTAAACACTTGGAAGAAACCTTTAAAGCATATATATTATGCACATAGATGAATTTGTTAATACAGCTACACATTTTAAGTTTTGAGAGGCCTTAATGGCTTAACATCACATAATATTAGATCACTTATATGAGAACTCCAATGCACATATATTACACAGAAAGATGGATCTATTAATACCAAAAGTGCAGATGCCATAAAATTTGTTTACCTCTTAAGTGTTCTTCTCCCTGCATTAAATTCTCTAACAATGAAACGCAACACAGATATATATATTGTGCTACATAACTATGATTAAGGGTGCAAACGAGTCGAGTCGAGTCGAGTTCGACTTAGGGACTGTTCGAGTCGAGCTCAATTGTAAAAAATCGAGCTCAAACTCGACTTGTTCCACAGTAAACGAATTCGAGCCGCTCGTCGAACCTCCAACAGGACTCGGTTCGCCTTACAACGTGCGTGGTACTCAAAAAAATTTATTTGCAGTCTTTTGCAACTGCAGCGGGAGGAAGAGAGGGAGAAAGAGAATGGGTATATTAGGCAGTCAAAATTTATTATTTAGTAGTCTATAGCCTTAGATAGATAGAGAGAGAGAGAGAGGCAATTATTTTTTGGGTTTGCCTCAGAGAGAATGATTGTATTAGGCTATTAGCATTTATTGTTTAGTAGTTAGTAGCCTTAGCCTGTCAGAGAAGAGAGAGAGAGAGAGAGAGAGAGAGAGAGAGAGAGGCATTTTAGATTTGAGAATGATGCAGGATTCAAAAATCTAAAATATAAGCGGGATTTGAAATTGCAGTAGGAGGGATTATTATTAATTTTTTTAAAATATTTAAATTTAATAATTTCGAGCTGGCTCGTGAGCTTGCGAGCCGAGCCTTGTCAAGCTCGAACTCGAGCTTGTTTAATAAACATGCTTGAGTTTGAGCTCGAGCACGAGCTCGTGGCTTGATAAGCTCGGCTCGCGAGGCGGCTCGGCTTACTTACGCCCCTAACTATGATCAATATGATAATCTCTTGAAGTCCATCATCTCAATTCTATTATAGTTCTATAACTATACAGGCAACCAATAAGTAAATTTTTTTTTTTTTGCTTTCTCAAGAAGTTATTAAAAGAGAAGCATCATATTAAGTTAAGTGTGGCAGATATGAGGATGCTCAGGTGGATGAGTGGCTTTACCCTTAGAGATAGGATACGAAATTAGCATATACGTGAAAAAGGTTGGAGTAGCTCCAGTAGAAGATAAGATTAGAGAGAGTTGTCTTAGATGGTTTGGTCACATAAAACGGCGACCTTCCAATGACCCGGTTAGAAGAGTAGAGGTATTAGATTTGACTTATGTTAAGAAGGGTAGAGGCAGACCTAAAAAGACTTGGTTAGAAAATATTAGGAATGACCTTTCTTTATTAAATTTAAACGAGAATTTGACCTTTAATAGGACCCAATGGAGTTAAAGGATTCATGTAGCCAACCCCACGTAGTGGGATGAAGGCTTG